CAACTCCACTTGGTAGAATTGTTGCCTCAGCAAGAAGTATAGAAGCCGATATACAGCCTAAGAGGATCGCCAAAAATTTCTGAAGCTGCTTTGCCAATACACAACGCCATATCAACTCTGTAGAGATGCGACTTAGTAATCACATTGTATTTGATCATTTAATTTATTCTCTTTTTAGAATTGTTCCTTTGCAATTTGGTCATTTATTGTGAATGCATTTTCTTTGATTGCTTTATATAGAAAAATACATTTTCTTCCTGAAGCCAAAAGATAGGAAAGGCATTTTCTTCCTGAAGCCATTTTACATGGCTACATTTTGTAGTATGAACTAGAAAATGTATTATTTTTGAAGGTAGGATTATGTATCTCAAACCAATGAGAATTACCAATATTCTCTTTTGCAAATCATCATCAAGATAAAATCAATTCTTGTAACATAATCTGCCATTTGCTTAGCATTTAAGTAGGAAGTGTTTCAAGAAATGCCAGAATGAGAACTTCCATTTATAGAATAAAAGAAAAATCGGAAGATCACCTATTTTGTCCAGCATAGACCCTAAACTTCCACCTCTTTCAGGCCGGAAGCTTGATATATATTTCCTGCCAAGTTTAAGAAATAGATTCCTACAGTCAAATAAGAATTAAGTACAAACAACTTTACATACAAGACAAGATCTTGAATCCCAAAATGTCATTCTATCAATTTGTTATATGAAGATATGAACTACAGGTGTTAAATAAAATAACTAAATCAGTAATGATGGCCCAGACAAAAACCTATGCAACAGAATTAGCAGGCAGGTCTAAGCACATGATAATGGAAAGTGAAAGAGAACAGTACTCTTTGATTCTGCTGGTTCACTTCATCATCGATCAATTTTAAGTTCTGAATCATGAATTTCGTACAGAAAGAATAGCATAATTAACGCACTAGATATTTGAACAACGACCAGCTAATTACTGGTTTGCAGAGTTATGTATATACGACTATAGCTATAAAAGACTGCTAGAACAACAACTATGTCCATCCCAAACTAGTTTGGATCGGCTATATGTATCCTCATTCCTCAACATTCATTCTGATCATTTGAAAACCAGTTACATTCCAATACTCAACACTCTGTTTTTTAATACAAATTAGGGATATAATGCTTCTAAGACTTTCCCATAACTGTCTAGCTTCTACTGTTAATATAAAAGGAAATAACAAGAAAGAAAGGAAATAGATCAAACCATCCAGTGCCACTTCGGTGCTCAAAGTTCTTTATGGTATCTTCCAGCTCAAGCGCTTGAGTTACAAAATTCATATACTCGCTGTATTAGAGAAGAGACATAGAGTTAATTATATGCTATTAGTGTGCCGAATGTTAAATGAAATCAGGAACTGCATGAGTTGAATGTATGAAGTTGGATGTTTCACCCATAAATCATGTGGTTCTCTGAATAGATAATTCTCATTAGCACACACCAGCGCACAAATGTATTACTAGTTTATTGATTTACTCTCTGCATCTTAAATATATAGTAATGTTTCAGTATTTCCCTCTTACACAACAACAACAACAACGACCAAGTGTAGTCCCACAAGTGGCGTCTAGGAAGGGTAGTGTGTACGCAGACCTTACCTCTGCCCCGATGGGGTAGAGAGGCTATTTCCGAAAGACCCTCGGCTCAAGAAGACGAAAAGACAAAAAGAAACAATATATCAGTACCATCATGGAAATAATAACAACAACACAAGAACCATCGAATAGATGAAAGGCAGAAATAATGACCAGTAAATAAGGCCCGGCACTATGAAAACGGAAGAGTAGTGTAAACACAGCACTGACCACTAGCAGTCTAAGATTAAATCCTATCAGCCTAGCCTCACACTGGTAGACTAAATATGCTCAACTACCTCCTAACCCACAACCTTAATGCTCGACCTCCACATCTTCTTATCGAGCGTCATGTCCTCGAAGATCTGAAGTCTCGCCATATCCTGCCTGATCACCTCTCCCCAATACTTCTTAGGCCGCTCTCTACCTCTCCTCGTACCCACCAACGCCAACCACTCGCACCTCCTTACTGGGGCATCCAAGCTCCTCCTCTGAACGTGCTCGAACCATCTAAGTCTCGCTTCCAGCATCTTGTCATCAATAGGAGTCACGCCCACCTTCTCCCGAATATCTTCATTCCTAATCTTATCCATCCTAGTGTGCCCGCACATCCACCTCAACATCATCATTTCTGCTACTTTCATCTTCTGGGTATGTGAATTCTTAACTGGCCAACACTTAGCTCCATACAACATGGCCGGCCTAACCACCGCCTTATAAAACTTACCTTTGAGTAACGGAGGCACTTTCTTGTCACATAGGACTCTAGATGCTAACCTCCATTTCATCCACCCCACCCCTATACGGTGTGTGACATCCTCGTTGATCTCCTTATCCCCATGGATAACTGACACAAGGTACTTGAAACTGCCTCTCTTTGAAATGACCTGCGATCCAAGCCTTACGTTCATGCCCGCTTCCCTCGGCTCGGCACTGAACTTGCACTCAAGATATTCCGTCTTCGCCCTGCTCAACTTGAAACCCTTTGACTCAAAGGCCTGTCTCCAAACCTCCAGTCTCTCGTTAACGTCACTCCGCATCTCGTCAATCAGAACAATGTCATCAGTGAATAACATACACCATGGCATCTCTCCTTGAACATAGTCTGTCAATGCATCCATCACCAGAGCAAAACAAGAATGGGCTAAGCGTAGATCCTTGGTGTAACCCCATAACAACCGGGAAATGGTCGGAGCCGCCTCCCACTGTCCTAACCCGAGTCTTAGCTCCATCATACATGTCCTTAATCGCCCTAATGTAAGCAACCGGCACACCTTTAGCCTCTAGACATCTCCAAAGAACCTCTCTAGGAACCTTGACATACGTTTTTTCCAGATTAATAAACACCATGTGCAGATCCTTCTTCCTATCCCTGTACTGTTCCACTAACCTCCTAATAAGGTGGATAGCTTCCGTAGTAGAACGACCCGGCATGAACCCGAACTGGTTGTCTGATACAGACACCGTCCTCCTCACCCTCGCTTCTACTACCCTCTCCCACACTTTCATGGTATGACTCAATAGTTTTATACCCCTATAGTTATTACAATTCTGGATGTCACCTTTGTTCTTGTACAACGGAACCACCGTACTCCACCTCCACTCGTCTGGCATCCTCTTCGTCCTGAAAATAACATTAAATAACCCTGTTAGCCACTCCAAACCTGCTCTACCCACACACCTCCAAAATTCTACCGGGATCTCGTCGGGCCCGGTAGCTCTGTCCCTGCTCATCTTACGCATAGCTCACACGACCTCCCTAACCTTGATGCGCCTACAGTACCCAAAATCGCGGTGGCTCTCAGAATGCCCCAACTCGCCTAGCACACTATCCCGATCCCCTTCTTTATTTAGAAGTTTATGAAAGTAAGTGCCATCTCCGCTTAATCTGGGCCTCTCCTATCAATACTTTACCGACCTCGTCTCTGATACACCTCACTTGATCTAAATCCCGAGCCCTTCCTCTCCCTCGCCTTAGCCAGCCGGAATAACTTCTTCTCCCCGCCTTTGGCCCCTAGATCCTCGTACAGACGACTAAAAGTCGCAGTCTTAGCTTTCATGACCGCCAGTTTTGCCTCCTTCCTAGCTACTTTATACCTCTCCATATTCGCACTCCTCTCAACCTCGCATGTGCTCCCTACTAACTTCAGGTACGCCGCCTTCTTCGCTTCCACTTTACCTTGGACCACTTCATTCCACCACCAGTCGTCTTTGTGCCCGCCAGCAAACCCTTCGAGACTCCCAACACCTCTCTCACTGCCTCCCGTATATAATCTGCCGTTGTCGACCACATAACGCTCGCGTCCCCACCACTCCTCCAGGCTCCCACAGCCGATAGCCTCCCTTCCACTCCTGAGCTTTATCCTTAGTCAAGGTTCCCCACCTGATCCTCGGTCGACCTCGTGCAATCCTCTTCTTCCTCTTCATCATAATACCGACGTCCATCACCAAGAGCCTATGCTGCGACGCGAGGGTCTCACCCAGGATAACCTTGCAATCCTTACACAGCCCTCTATCACACCTCGTAAGGAGCAGATAGTCAATCTGAGTCTTCGCCACCGTGCTCTGAAAAGTAACCAAATGCTCCTCCCTCTTTGAGAAACTAGAGTTAGCAATCACCAGCTCAAACGCCCTTGCGAAATCCAACAGCGAAGTTCCTCCTGCGTTCCTATCCCCAAAACCGAAGCCACCATACACCTCGCCATAGCCGCCTGCAATTGACCCAATATGACCATTAAAATCCCCTCCTATAAATAACCTCTCAGCAGGCGGAATACTACGCACAATCTCATTCAACCCCTCCCAGAAGCGCCTCTTGATATCCTCATCCAAGCCCGCTTGCGGTGCATACGCACTAACGACATTTATGGTGCACTCTCCAACCACCAACTTAATAGACATTAACCTATCATTCACCCGCCTAACCTCTACCACAGACTCTCTAAGTTCCCTATCCACCAGAATGCCTATACCATTCTTACCCTTCAGGACTCCAGAGTACCACAGCTTATACTCGTTTGCATCCCTCGCCCTCGAACCTACCCACCGAGTTTCTTGGACACACGCTATATTGACCTTCCTCTTCCGTAGGATCTTCACCAGCTCTATAGACTTACCCTCTTACACAAATACCAATTTTCGTAAAAATTGAGAGCTTAAGTGGGTTCAACAGTTGAAGAGAGCAGCAAAAACATAGCTCTTAAATAGAAACCATGGTCTCCAGAACTTTTAAGGACAATGTTGTTGCAAGATATGTTAATGTTCATCCCAATGCTTGCGAATGTCCCTGATTATACACCACTAACCTACAGCAGCATAGTTGTTAACTTGTCATACATGGAAAGACTTGCCTTTTAAGACCATTGCCACAGAGTTACACGTGATGAAACTACTAACATTTCAAATCTGGAAATTAGATAAAGATAAAATGAAGAAGATTTCAAAGATACCAGGGCTCTAACATGGTTCTTGCAGTCATAAAGTATAAGAGAATTTTCTTGGGCTAGTTTTCCACCGGTGCAGAATGGATTCCTAAGCAATTAATATCATTCGTAAGCTCAAAATAAAGGTCTCAAACCTGGGAGTGTATCCAGGCTATAACAATATGTGGATAGGCAATTATACGGCATGACTAAACACTTATGATCCAAAAAATTAACCATGGACCACATGTACTCAAACTTTTGAGTCGGCAATGAACATGTACCTTCTGTATCGGCAGTATTTCTCTCGAGCTATCTTGAGTTGACGTCTAAGTGCAGCCATTGTTTTAGCATCAGTGTCATAATCCATATCATTTTCTCCTAAATTTCCACCTTGTGGTTTAAAAGAGGGATCTTCGCTAAGCTGCACTCGAAGTAATACTAGAAAAGGCTTTAATGCATCTGAGAAGATAAGCATTTAAACAAGAATAGAAGTGCCTAAATTGCTGATATGAAGCTTTGAGGCAAAATCATCTGCAAAGAGAAGCATGATTACCATCTGAATCAGCATCTTGTCTATGACATTCATGTAAGGTCTCAAAGGATCACGCTTTGACATCTGTTTTGACGTGGCTTGGGCAACCTGAAAGTGTGAAACCACATCTTTACTGGTGGAAGAGAAATCTTGAGTTGTTCATCTTCAACAAGATTAATCTTTGCTCCAACTGCAGCATTTTGGGTAGGTTGAAAAGATGAACGGTCAAAGCAAATATAGCCCAGGATGGGAAAATGCATGCACAATTGCACATACCTACCAATCCACCCCACCAATTGTCTCAAAAGCAGCTAGAGGTAATGCTAGATTCTTGATTGTATACATAGGGTATTGGCAATTATGGAACTGCGCTCAAGATATGAACATCACTTTCACAACTGAAACTGAAATTTGTGGAGAGTTTCAGAAATGAACCCAATTCGTCTTTGAGCTCTTCCTTTTCTTCTAGTGATTTTTATGGGGAAATCCCCAATTCTCATGTTGGTCGGTTTGAGAAGCGACTGACAGTGGGGTTCAGTTAAAAGAACTTGTGTCATTCTAAACCACAATGGTAAACATGGGACAATAAGGCCAATTGAAAATGAATTAGCAAGTTCTTTGTGCAGATTATCTTGTATTACAATATGTTGCAAATCAAACCTTCCCAGTATCTTCTCAACATTTCCATAAAAAATTACTTGTCAAGAAAATCTTTTACAAATAAATGTTAACAAGCAGAGTAGATGTTATGACAATTTAGACTTTGTAATGAACAATCATAGAAGACAAGCCACGTGTCAAGTACAGAACTTATGACTATACAACAACAACAACCCAGTGAGCTCCCACGAGTGGGGTCTGGAGAGGGTAAGATGTACGCAGCCTTACCCCTACCCTGGAAGGATATAAAACTTACTACTATAGCATTTGAAAATTCCTGATGAGCATCATCAAGTTTGACGGCCATTTTCGCCACCTTATGTGAGAGAATCTTTTGGTGAGTTGTCCAATCTGCACTTCTCCAGATGCCCTTTGGAATTTCACTTAGACCAAAGCCAAGGAGAAATGCACCAGTCACAAGACCAAATGTATTGGAGCAAGCCATAGCAAAACCAGGAATGTTTCCTATCCTGCATGTGCATATTCACTGCTTGAGAATGCAAGAAAGGGGTCAATAGTTGGAAATTGAAGCTAGAAGCAGTAAAAGGTGGAGAGAATTTTGCAGGGAAAAAAAGAATGGAGTAAGCCGTGTTGCTTTATTTCCTAGGCTTCCTACATGACCAAATAGATAAAATAAAATATAACATGAGCTCTTTCTTGATATTAAATTTAAGAATCGCATCATCTCCTAACATTTCATACTTTAGGAGAGACTAACATGTCAGTTCATTAATCCCAAAATAGAGGTGGTCTGCTTAACCAAGATGCTTCCATGGCACAGTTAAAAGCATGCCTTGCAGCCTTCTTGTTGCACTTGGCAAGCAGAGTTGCCTTACTGTAAAACCAGTGTACTTCTTTTTATTAGAGCAAATATATTAATCCAATGACAAACAATCCAATATGATTGGTACCACAAAGAGCAGAATCAGGAGAAGAGAAACATGATACTGCAGTCCCATGTTATCAAAGGCGAAAAGCGCAAAAAAGCTCTAAGGTCGGTTGGGGCTTTAAGCGCAATCAAAGATTGGCTTTAATGAAGAAAGGCGCAAATGGAGAAAAACGACGAATATGTATGTGTAGTCCAAGACTAATATCTATAAGCATGAATACCAAATATATGGACAAAGAAATGAAGAAAATTTAAATATCAATTGTTTAGTGTCGCCTCTTCAGGATTACGCTCATTGGCAAGGAAAAGTATGTCGTAGAGCCTTGATGATAACAGCGAAGTGCCTGCTAAGAGAGACGAAGCGCTCAACATGTTTTGAGCCTTGCGTCAGGGCTTAAGTGCGCTTTAAGCGCGCCTTTGATAACACTGCTGCAGTCTACACAAACTATTGAGAAAGTGAGAGATAAACCGGTATTCTTGAACAACGATGAGCAAGAGAAGTCCGAAAAGCCCGATAGCACCAACACATAAGTAGTAAACTAAGTTTGCATGTGCACTAGTCTTCAGCCTTTCAGTTATAGTGAAGTCCCCTGCATCTTCATAACCCTGAATTATAGGCACCACAGCCCTGAAAATAGCCATAATGCATGATGAAATGCTCACTTCTCATAGCATCCTAACCACTGCCATCCAAATTTTAGTAAAGCACTATCTAAAGGAAGGTATGAAATTTGAAACTAAAGAGAACCATTAATTATCAAGTAATAGCACCTATTTGCCACAGTCAACAGTTTGAACATAAGTAATATATTTTCTTCGTGTGTCATTAAAGGAAATGAAAACTGGTAATGTCCAGTTGAATATCAATAAAATATAAGGATAGAAATATAAGGCTTAGATATCTATTTTGACTGTCTTGAGAGGGGATTAATTCTCGAGTTGCATTATTTTCCTAGTGGATGGGGGCACATACCAAATGCTGCATGGTATTTGCCTTTTTAAATGAAACTCTGAGATAGCTGGGCATATAAATATCCAACAGGTACACCAAACAATTTACAAACCTAAAATGGAAAACTTAAAGAGGAAACAACAGCAGATTAAAGCCATAAATAAAGCTGATAGGTACCTCTAACCAAAGATATCATGCTGAATCATCAAGAAAGATTCAGCAGAAGCATTGTCATATATTTTTCCTAATCTTAGCCACAAGTTAATGTGATAAAGTACCAGTAAGACTAAGAAGTTGAGGAGCATTGATACAGGTAATACGAGCTAAATTGATCATCCACCCACACAGTTAAACAAAAACAAAAGCCTGTGGCAGTCTGCACATAAGACATTCACTCCCATTGAAAATTTTCGAGTTTCCAGTGTTTCCTTCAATCTGGACTAACATTGAAAAGATTGATGCACAAATACTCTTATTTTTCCTCATATGACTGATCAAAAATAATCGTACTTTTCCTCGTATGTCAATACTTTAAAAGATAACCCTTCAGCCCAAAAGCTGGCAATACCAAAAAACGTCCTGATCACATGTTAGCTTACAACATTTAAAGAAAAATGAAAAAAAAAAAAACAATGTACTTCAAGTACTATTAGTCTTCTATATTTAAATTATTCACACATCAATACAATGCATTTCAAGCAAGCATTTAACTAAGCAATCAACGATACTGAAAGTTAGCATAAGATTACACATTTTCAAAAGAACTGGTTTAAAGAATATCAGATGGTGTAGCTTACCAAGTGAGTAAAAATGTACTCCAATAAGACCAGCTCCAAAAGAAAGAGATTTGTCCCTTATCATGATTCGATAATGTCTGCACAAAAACAAACGACACTGAAACCTTTGTCAAGTAGAAATCAAACAAATTCATAATGCAACTATGCATATTCGGCTAAGTTGATGCCAGGGGCGGGATGGACATTGTCTTTGATGGGGATGGGTTCATTGAACCCATTATTTTCGACGCCAAGAATAAATATACATCTGAAAAAATCATTAAACGTCACCAATAATAAATTCCAAACCCATAATTTTGAATTGCAGTGCGTAATAAGAATCTTAAAGATTGAACCGTAGAGTACAAATTCACTATTTGCCTCTAGTTGCCCAGCTAAAACTAGTCAATATTTGATGAATTATCACAGTATTGACTACGTTACGAAGTACTCTCCTATTTCCACCTTACATCCGTACCGGCTAATAGGTTGAAATAAAGCGAAAAGATATTGAGGATTATAAAATTGAACCCAACTAAAGCACAGTGATAACATGCTGAAGAAAAGAAAAAAGGAAGCTGGCCGATAGCTTAGTTGAGATGCAGAGAGCTGATTCGTCATCCAAAAAAGGAATGAGAATGGGGAGGGGGAGTGAAGAACGTACAGTCCAGATATCAGCGGGAACAAGGATGATGATAGAGAGAGAGCAGAACCAGGTGTATCCCACGGTGTAACGTACGTAACGAGGTACGTCTGGTCCGGCGAAGTACCAAAGCGTTACCCCCACCATCCCCATCGTCAGGGGTAACGATATCAGGTAAAATACCCACATAATTAATTCTTCTGATCGAACTTTCCTTTAATTCGCCGTACGTCGTCTGATCAAGGAAAGCGATCGAAGAGATGTTGAGGTCGATGGCGTCTTACGTCCCTTTGCCTCTGCGTAGAGAATGAAATTACGAACTGGAGACCGAGTCATGCTACCACCTCACTCACTCGCCTACCTTTCCAATTGACCATTTGCCTCCAATGGCGGAATCACAGTTACTCTACTTGGAAATTTTTTAAGTACCACTCCTAATGGACCCTATTATTTTGAGTTTAACTTGGAATATAAAAATATAATTATTCATAATAAATGTATTAGAAAATTGAAAAATAAGAAAAATAATACGATAGAACAAATTAAATTATACCGATTACATTATCGTTATATATACGTCAAATCTTGTATAAGATTAACTACCACTATGATGTTATAAATACTATTCGTAGTGAACCATATAATATATTTTGCACAAGTATCCGGTAACTTAATTCACCGAAGCTTAAATATAAGGAATTATCTAATATTTTTCTCTGCTATTTGAATGTTAGTTTCAATGATATTTACTCACTCCATTAATTACTAGTCTTTAGGGTACGCATGTTATGTGTGTATCTCATATTGGTGAGTATAAAATTCTAAAAGAATTACATAAATTTTAAATTGAAAATTATTTTTGATTTATTCTAAAAAAAATAAAGAAAAAAAGTTTAAGTTTTTAAAATAATAATTGTTGTATCCTATTTATCTAATTACTCAATTCAGAAAGATATTTTGCCATATGTCTCTTCCTATAAATATGCAATATTATGAGTGTGCTTTTATTTTAGAGCTCATATATTGCATATTTAGCTATAACTTTTATATACTTTTACTTATGTAAGGTACGTAACTTTTGTAAAAGTTTAAATATTTACATTAGTGCTCAATTTGATGTGTTTATTCCAATTGAAGTGATAGAATCTAAATAAAATTTAAAGTTTTAATATTAGAGCTCGCATTTAATTCAAATTAGGAAGGATTCATGTAACGATTCGGTCGGTCGTTTCATGAGTTATATTTTTCCCATTTCTACTTCTTATTGCTTTGTTTATCGGTTCTATGTGGGATCAGGTTGGTTGGCTCGGGTTCGGAAAGGTTTTGGTAAGGTTTGAGACACTTAGTCTCTTTTGAGGAAGTTTAAGTTGGAAAAGTCATCCGGATGTTGACTTATGTGTTAAACGGCTCGGATGTGAGTTCCGGTGGTTCGGATAGCTTCGGGAGGTGATTTGGGACTTAGGAGCGTGATCGGAATGTGTTTTGAAGGTCCGAAGTAGATTTAGGCTTGAATTGGCGAAATTGGAATTTTTGCGTTTTTCGGTTGATAGGTGAGATTTTGATATATGGGTCAGAATGGAATTTCGGAAGTTGCAATAGGTTCGTTGTGTTATTTGGGATGTATGTGCAAAATTTCAGGTCATTCGGACGTGGTTTGGTAGACTTTTTGATCAAAAGCGGAATTCGGAAGATTTTGGAAACTTAAACTTAAATCCGATGTGTTTTGGTTGATTCGATGTTGTTCGAGGTGTTTAGAAGATTGGTATAAGTTTGGATGGTGGTATATGATATGTTTGTACTTTTGGTTGAGGTACCGGGGGCCTCGGGGTGATTTCGAATGGTTAGCGGAAGATTGGAGTTGGGTTGTGACAGCTGAAGTTTTCCCATTACTGTCATAACCGCACCTACGGCCAGGGGACCGCAGGTGCAGTCTTGTAGAAGCGAGCTTGGAGTCACAAAAGCGGAAGAAGGCAAGGAGGGCAGGAACCGCAGAAGCGGTTAAGGAATCGCACCTGCGATGGCGCAAGTGCGGCTTGTGTATCGCAGATGCGAAAGCTGAGATGCTTAAGTGAAAACCGTAGAAGCGGTTCATGGACCGCAAAAGCGGTACCACAGGAGCGGGATTTTGGCCGCAGATGCGAAATCCCTGGGCCAGAAGGTATAAAAGCATTCCTTCGCGATTTTTGAGTTGTTTTTCTCCATTTCAAGTTGGTTTTGGAGCTTTTGGGGAGATTTTGAAGAGGGAATCAAGGGATATCATCTGGAGGTAAGATTTTTGAGTCTAATAAGCAATCCTATGGTATTATTTCACGGATTAGAGCTATGATTATGGAAATTTAAGGGTTAAAATTGGGAAAACTAGGGTTTGGTATTGGAGACCTAGACTTGAGAATTTGAGGGGCCATTGTGGTCGGATTTTGGAACTTTTGATATGTATGAACTCGTGGGGAGATAAGCAATTTATTGATGTAAATTTTATCGAATTCTGAGACGTGGGCCCGGGGGTCGGGTTTTAGTTAATTTCGGGATTTATGCTATAACTTGATTATTTTCGCATGGGCTTCATTTCCTTAGCATAGTTTGACGTCGTGATTCTGATTTTGGATAGATTTGACGCGAGTTGAGGCCAATTCGAGGGGAAAAGGCGTCGTGGGCTAGAGTTTGGATCGGATTGAGGTGAGTAATGATTGTAAATATTGTCCTGAGTGTATGAAACCCGGGATTGCACATCGTTGTGCTATATTGAGGTGACGCACACGCTAGATGTCGAGCGTGGGGTCGTGCACCATTGGGGATTCTGACTTAGTCCATCCTGAATGATTATTTTATCGCGTATTTGATTGAAAACTATCTGCTATCATCATGTTTTGGGTTGAATGCCATATTTGGCCTTGTGCCAACTATTCAGACCCTTAGGGGTTTTTTACTGATATTTTCTCACTGTTTAGACTTTATATTTGAACTCAGTCATGCTATATTCTACTGCTTTCATAACTCAGCCATGTTTAATTTGTTTTAACACATTAAATGACTTTTTTAAATGATAATCTGGGTTGAGCATCATGCTTTACTGTTGCCCGAGCGGCTTATGTGATTCTGACTGAGTAAGACCGAGGGCCTGTGTTGTGAGGATACACTGATTCATGATTTTGAGGCCGATGGGCCTGAGATTGTACGCCACGAGGTAGTTTGTTGATATGAGGCCAAGAGCCTATTGAATATGCCACAAGATGGCTTGATATTGCGCTTGGGCCGCAAAGGGCCCCTCCAGGAGTCTGCATACCCCCAGTGAGCGCGAGTACCCATTGTGATATGAGATATAGCCCGAGGGGCTGGTGTTGTTCCATGATATTGCCCGAGGGGCGGATTTTTATGTGTTGATCTGTTCTAATTGTTTTTCATTTAATTGTTTAACTGTTAAAAAGGTGTTTTAAAGAAGTTTCTTCTGAACTAAATGTTTTTACATATTTCCACTGTTTCATTGTTTTTTACTGGATTTTTACTGCTTCTTATAGCCTGTTGATGTGCCTTTATGTGATTTCTTATCGCTCAGTCTTCATTTATTATTATTACTCACTGAGTTGGAGTACTCACTTTACTCCCTGTACCCCGTGTGCAGATTCAGGCGCTTCAGGTCCTGCTTGCGAGGGTTGAGTGAGCTTCCTGCAGATTTCTGCAGATTTCGGAGATTCACTAGGTAGCTGCCGGCGTTCGCAGCCCAGTGCTTCTCCCTCTATCTTATTTTCTATTGTTTTAGTTATGCAATAGTTGTGTAGACTCTTTCAGACTTGTAATTTTTGCGATAGATGCTCATGACTGGTGACATCCCGATATCGGGCTATATCTATTGTGCAAACTGTATTATCCACCTTATTTTGGGATTATTATTATTATTATGTTAAAGACTTAGTTTTTATTATTTAATTGCATAAAATGAATTGGGAGTGTGTCGGCTGGCCTTGTCTTCATGAGAGGCGTCATCACGACCGGGTCCGAATTTAGGGTCGTGACAATTCAATAAATAAATTTAGTTGATTTCAAAGTCAAAGAATTAGTGAAATAATTAAATATTCTTAGAAAAATAATAAAATGACTATTTTGTCTAATATGAAACTTATTATTAAAGAGTAAAAAGGCGAACGATATTTCGATGATAGGCTTTGTGCTTTTAATATAGTATAGATTATGTTACAATCGTACTATAATATTATATCCACATACAAATCTTTCTCTTTTATTAAGAGCCCGCCAAAATGCCAAAAATTGCTTATTTTAAAAAATATTTTGTTTAAAAGTGCTTTTTGAAAAGTGTTTTTTTGCAAAATAGTTTCTCTTTGGCCAATTCGTTTGAGTAGTACTTTTTGTAAGCTCATTGTGTTTGATCAATCTTTTAAAAAAGTACTTTAAATATCAAATTATGAAAAAGGATAGTAAAGGTTCAATTAACAATTAGTATTATTTAGAAAAGAAAAATAAATTTAAACATATATTATAAAAAATTCAATTAAATATAAAACGTAAAGTAAAATTATAAAATAAAAATTCCAAAGCAATAGCATTGACTATGTTTGGTATTACTTATTGTTTACATGATAAAATAAATATATATTATTTAATATAAATTTAAAATCTACTCTTAGAAATAGGAGAAAGAGAATAAAAATATACAACAACAAGAAATCCAGTATATTCTCACAAGTGTGGTATGAAGAAAGAGAATAAAAATATAATTAAAATAAAAAAGGAAATGTATAGTAGAAATAAAAGAAAAAGGACAGAAAAAAATATTAAATTAATGAGGAAAAATTTGAAAAATATAAATTTATTGTAAGGTTATTTTTGTCTTGAATAAATTAACTTTTTTGCTCCTGCTTCTACTTCTTGGAAGAAGCTAGAATTTATAGCTTCTCCCCAAAAAGTAAAATTGTTTTTTTGGTGCTGCTCAAAAGTATTTTTTTAAAAATTTTGGTCAAACACCTTAACATTTCTAAAAAGTATTTTTTTGATAACAAAAAATACTTTTGGCCTCGCAAAATCTTGGCGAAACAGTCTCTAAAAGTTGATAAGTGTGAAGCACCCAACATGTCCCCCTGCACGCTTCAGCATTAGCAACCGGTTTACACATCATAAGAAAATCACATCTCTTTTCACAACGGATATGTTCTTTTTTTCTTCAAATTAAGGGCCTTTTGGAAAACCATTTTATAATTGGATTTGGGTGTAATTGGTCGTAATTACATAATTTTGGCGTGTTTGTCTGACCAAGTAATTACTCAATCAGCATGTAATTGGGTGGGTATGTAATTACAATCTGCAATTCTCAAGGGGGAGCTTAGAGTTAGTTGTAATTACTGTGTAATTATCAAGTTATTTTTTGAATCTCTTTTCTTTTTAATTTACTTTTTATTTTTATTCTTTTT